CATTCCTGCACTAGCATTCCTTCTTCCAGCAGTCTCGGGACTCAGGAATTTACACCAAATATGAGAAATGGAGTGATTATGTCCTAGCTTCCTCTTTTCCCCTCTCACACATCAAAGTGGGAGCTGGAACCAATTGACACCATGTGCGAATCTGGTTCATCAACGTTTTGGTACTGTAAGAGCTGTCTGGGGTCAGTACTAGTTTGGGCTGGTTCACTGGGCAGAAAGAGCACAGAGGCCTGCTTCGGAAGACCTGGGTTCCAGTCCTGGTCCAGTCTTTCCTCCTCAGCTGGTTGGGGTGTTTGGACCCGCTGAGGTTTTTTCAGCTGTGGCAGTGTGAGTGAGGTCATGGGAATCAGCCTGGGGCCCAGGTCACTCACATGTCACCAAGGCTAATCATGTCCATCAGTGGGTTGAGGGCGAGCAGGTCACAGGGAAAAGCAGCAGCACTGCCACTATTCAAATGAGACCAAGTCCAGTCAAGTTTAGAAGGACTGGGTACTTCTGGGAGGGCATGGTTAGCTCTGCTTGTTACTCCCCAGCTGCCTCCTGCCTCTTCCCAAAGCCTCCAGATCTCCCTCCTGGCGGGACTACCCCTGCTGAGCACACACCTCCCATGGCCACAGTGGAGCCAGCTGGCGTCTCTCCTTGGGACTGGGTAAGATACTTTGCCTGGGCAGTCCATCATTTCCATCGCATCCAAAGTCCTGGATGGCAGGATGAGCCCAGGCCTTAGTCACTATTGGCTGAAAGATAACCCCTTAGCTGCTTGTCTATTTTTCTTCAAATAAATACTTCCCTTCCATTAAGTTTTCATTTGGCTTAAGAAAGCAGCACTCTCTTAAATTGCCCAACTTAGGAATTCTTAAAGTCCTTCAAAATCTTGTGAAAGGGCAGCTTATTTTAATTGCCGACAGCCTGATTGCATTTTGTCCTGCAGGCTTGGCAGATCCCAACTTTCCACTCACTTTGTCTTTCTTGCTATGTCCAACATCTGAAATGCCCAGGAGAGCAATTAGGCCAAGTCACAGTGGCGGGCTGTGAACAGCAAGAATTGCTAGTGACACTGAACAGAGCTGGATGGTCAGACTGTTAGGTTGCCAGCGTCCAGGACACTCACGAAAACACTAATGGTCTCATCCTTCAAGTTACTTCACTCTTGCGCTTATCAGGAATGAGTCCATTCTCTTTGGAAGTTGGTGTTTGAACCTACACTCAAAATGCTGCTCTCGGCACCAGCACCTCCAGGGCAAAAATCAGACACCTAAGAGCAAGAGCACATAGTAAGCCTCAACCATGAGCCACTCACAGCACAAGCTGCTCTGCTTAGATTACTCAATGTAATCTCATCATTACCACTATTTTACAGGCAGGGAAACTGAGGCATCAGGGAGCTCAGTGACTGCCCAAACCCCACCACCAATAAATGGCAGGGCTTGGACTCAAGCTCCTTCTACAGTGCTTCAAACATGTTTTTTTTGCCATCACACCTGGATGCCTCTTCGCCCTGTAAGTGCCTTAGCCTGTTCCTCAGGCAGGGCCCTACCTGACGCCATTGCTCAATTCTAGAGAGGCAGCCTAGGCACCCTGAGTGTTCTCTCTGCCTTGCCCACCCTCATCTATCTAAGGCCAGAAGCCAGCTAACACTTTCAAGGCAGCTGCCAGAGGACAGAAAGCTGCCTTCTGGTTGAGGAGAAGGTAAGAGAAAATTACAGAAGAACTGCCGTATGCAACGAGATCGTAAGGCCCTTTCCAGGATGGACAGGCTTCGGACAGATGTCCTGGGAGTAGAGACCTATGCACAGGCATCCCTGTCTCTGGTCCACAGAAGGCCGGGAAGTGGTCTTGAATACCACGTGGCCCATAGGTCTGCACCCCCCACCCCCCAGCTCCTCAGTCAGGTGGGAACCCAGTCTCCAACAAAGCTGTGCCTCGTGCAGCAAATAAAGAAACGATGTTGAATGAACCAGACCCCAAACCAGAAGTGTGCCCGATTGGGAGCTGCAGGATGCGCCCTGGCTGACAGCTGACAGTATTGCTCATGTCAGCACCCGGGGACGGGAGACCTTGGGAAGGTCAGGACAGCTGGAAGTGTGAAATGAATGCAGCCCTGCATAGCTGTCAAAGGATCAAGCTGTCTGCGGCGGCCGACTGACCATGCACACACACACTCGGCAGCACCCGGCTAGGCATTACCTACTTCACCACCGGTGTAGAAGTCAGTGTTTGTCGGGTGAACGACAGCATCACTGTCGATCGAGGCAATGTCAGCCTGTACAACTTGCAACTATAACAGGTAAACAAATGTATATCAACTGTGTTGGACCGAGACCCACGCACAGGCACATTTACTAACGCCCCAATGGCAGGGCTGGCCTACCTGGTCGATTCCAACATTTGAGCCAAAGGGGCAATCAGTCCACGGAGTGTGCGCACATGTGGATGGGGGTGAGGAGAGGAGGAGGAGGAGGAGGAGGAGGAGGAATATTAAATGTGACATGTTTAAATTAAACATTCGAATGACAAGTCCAAAAAAAAAGAGAAACACACATGAGATCATTTCCAAAGGTTAAAAGAAATAACAAAACAACAAATGCCCATTTCACTTCGCAAAAGCCTATAAAACTGGCACCCCACTGAGAAGGCTACTAAAACATGGCATCTGTTTTTAAAGAAAATGTGGACTATCAGGCCAACCAAAACAACCAGTTTCTCCATTTTGTTGGCAATGGTGACTGCACAGATTTCCCTTTTTATTCTTGTGATATTCATCACTTTGTCTACCTGCAAGGGCCATCTCCTGAAAACCGAATAAGAAGTACAGGTCATGAGCAGAGGTGTGCCTTTCATTTTCCCCTCCTCAATGTGCGGAAAGTACTTTTTCCAGGCCTACCTCTTATTCTGGCCAATCTCACTGCTATGTATTTTAGATAGAACATTCTTGCTTTTTCTAGATTGCGGTCTTCGGGTGTTTTTGTTGTTGTTGTTTTTTTTTTTTTTTTAATAAAGGCTCTGTGTAAGGTAGTGGGAACACAAGTTTAACCAGGGCATTCTTGAATTTCAGTCCCCATGTCTTCACCCCCTGTTGTTCCCAGTCGGTGGGTCAGGCCTGGACTCTGGAGTGAGCACCTCTGCCCTTGTCCAATGAAGGTGGGAACTATAGGCCTATGAAGCAAGCGAGGTCAGCATCAGACACCAGGCTGCCTTGCTGGGCGCCTGTGCAGCCTGTCAGCCCTGGCAAGGCTTACACCTACGAGGACAGAGCCTCTGTTGTGCCCCCAGAGCTGACGGTTCCTCTCTGCAAAGAGTGGGCCACAGACTGGGACACCTGAGGCCAACCTCGAAGCTTACCCTGGCCATCCCCCCGAGCAGGGAGACACCATGGCTTGCAGGGGGCAGGGGCAGAGTTTTCCTCTGCAGGAACTTGCTCAGAAAGACATACTGCCCTTCTGTTTAATATCATCCTCTAGCCAAATACTTCATTTAGTTGGTACTCAGTTACATGCTGTTTTCAGCTGTATTAAAAAAAAATTGAAGTGATAGGAGGTGGTGAATTTGGGGAAAACCAATTTGCTGGTAGATTAGTCAGTTTAATGGCATAGTGACGCAGCTCAATTCCCCCCGACCCCCACCTTTTCAAGTCATTTCTAATGAAGGCCTAAATGGAGAAACTATCATTTTGTAGTTACCTGAGATTTTTTTCAGTTCTAAAAACAAATTTTAAAAAAACACATTGAAAAAAATCCCCCCCAAGTAACCAGCAGTCAGTTTGATCGTTATGGAAGAGAATTTAAATGGCAGTATATTTACAAACAAGGGGAAAATATCCAATCGCACTTCCTGAAATATCATTAGTTATTTCCCATTTGGAATGGCCTGGGGTGAGCAGACATTCACCCTGAATTCGTAACCTTGGATTTTGGCTGAACCATCTTCAGTTTGAGAAAACGGAGAGCCTAAATTCTGGGTTCCATAACTTTTCATCTGACAGCTGGTGGTGCCAAACCCCATCCCCAATTACCTAGGTCATCTTTAAGGTCAATGTCAGCATTGGTAGGATTGATTATGGCCTCCACCTCAAAGCCGGCTAAATTACTGATTTCACTGTGAATAAGGTTCAGCTGAAAAGAAAAGCATGAGGTGGGAAATAACAGGACAGCTGGGAAGTCACAGAGAAGTGAGCCGTGGGACATAGATGAAGGGCAGTGGACACCCAAGTGCACTGGGCACAAAGGTGAATTATGGAGTCACTGGCTAAAATGAGTCCATTTCAAACAAAAGACTCAAATGCCGCTTGGGATGCTGAAAGGGAGTAGCTAGGCTGAGGTTTCAGAACTGTTGGGTGATGCCTGGGGCAAAAGGCAGGCTAAGCCACACTGGGCTGGAAGAATGACTTCCCTTTAAAAGAACTGATCTGAGGACCAAAGTAAAGCAGTTGTCAGGACGCATTACTGGGGCGGGGGTAGGATATGTGGGTGTCTCCCCTTCTGAGTGCCAGGATGAGCAAGTCCTAGCTGGTTTGAGCAAACCTCCAGTAGCCTGGCCACCTCCTACATGTGTCTGTGGGTCCCCATGCCACTGACTACTGGCTGGCTCCCTGCTCCGGGGTGGCAAGGAGCAAGAATAATCCGTTACTGAGTAACATCTAATTTTACCTGCCTACCTGTCATGTAATGCTGAAGTTCTGGTGAAAGCCAGGGAGAGAAACAGCAGTTCTCTGGCAAGACAATGCGTCCTTTAAACTGTTTTCAATCTGTTCTGAGTTCACTCTGAGGTTCAATGAGTTGAGCATTTCCCCTGAGTTCTAGCAATACCCAACCAACAAGCTCTTTATGGAGACCCCCTAAATATCCTCCCTCCCCACTGTTATTCCTCTGCCATATGGAGCCTCAGTCATATTTTTGGGATCCTGAACCCTGGACTTGGCTGTCAGAGGGGCCAGGGAATGGGCTGTCCTAGGACCTTGGTCCTGGGTCTGATCTTCCCCTTCCTGTTTTTAGGAAGAAGCACCTGAAGCAAAGGGGGCCACACAACACTCCATCTCTTTGAAGATTCTCATCTTCACTGTCAAATTCCAGAGAGCTGCAGGAAAGAGCTATGCCTATGCAGCCCCTGGAGGAGCTGGTGCCCAGGACCGAACTGTGAGCCAGGCTGGGAGAGCCCCGCAGCCCTCAGGGCCTCTGTCCAGGAGCTCTCTCCTGGGAGGGGTATGGGAAGGTAGGCTCTTGGCAGCTGAGCTCCAAGTCTCTGAACTCTTGGGGCCAAACATTTGGTTGAAAACCAAACCAAACCAAACCCTGACACACTCTAAGCATCAGAAATAGAAACCTACATCTTTGATTCTCAAAAATGGGATCTGCTTAGACTAAGTCATCCTTTGTAAGATAGCAATTGTGGAAATAAAGTTGGTCTCAAGGATTCTGGCTAGGCCCTGCCATACAGCAGTGACCCTCATTTTTAATTAGACTCCAAGAGAAACAAGGGACAAGTTTCCACTGCTTGGACTTTCTGGGTAATGGTTCCCAGTGCTGCAGGATGATTTAGGGGCCACCACATCCCTGAGGGGTGGAGGAAGTCCATTTGGGTGCTCTCACGCTGCTAAGCTCTCAGAAGCACAGGGGTACCAAGGCAAAAAAGGCAAAAAGAGACAAGCACAAGGGCCTGGGCATTAACGTCTATGCTCAGAGAGAAGGGGTGTGGGTGGGCACAGACTAGTGTCTCAAATTGACAAATCAGTGCTCGGGACAAGGGAAAGGGCTGATTAGGACATCTAGTACGCACTGCATTTGACTTCAAGGCAAATGCTGTTGATGAAAACTCATAATGTGGTTGAAAGTCCCCTCTCCCCAACAAAAAAAGCCCCCCACTCTGAAGGAGCAGGAAGCTGTTGGGGGGAAAAAGGGAAGAAAAACACACCGCTTGGAATGGCATGGATGAGTCTACTCATAAGACATCTATGAGACTCCTTTTTTGTTTAAAAATTATGCATATCTAAATTTTTTAAATCCACACTATTTTTTTCAATTATAGAGATGTTTCTGGATTTGTTTCAGAAATGCATTATTGGAAAATCAGCTATTTCCTTGACTCTGATCCAAGCATCCAGAAGACCTCTGTCTCTGCCTACCCGGGAGATCTGCTCCTGTGGAGGCACATGGGCCTCATGGGGAACCTGTCAGGCTTCAGGGCTTTGCTAAAGTGAAGGTGGGGCAAACAGAGCTCAGCCTCTTCCACCTTCCCCAGCTCACTCCAGCTCACTGCCTTGCCTTCCCGTCTGACCACAGGCAGCCCCACTCTGGAGGTACCAACTCCTGCACCTCGAGGAGCCACTACAGCCAGAACTGAGAATCATAACTCATCAGGGGCTACTTCACACACCCAACTCTGACGACAGCCTAGAAGAGTGACTCCCCAAGTTTGCTCTGCTGTGTGCCGGGCTCAGGGAGCCCTCGGGGGAGGAGCTGAGTCAAGCAGCAGTTGTGCTGCTATTAAATACCTACAATACATAAATGTATTTACGAAAAATCCTTGACTATGAAGATTTTGGGGGGAGGGGGCATGTCTGTGTGCTTGGGAGGACTAGGTGGGGGGGACAGGAAAAATGCTTTAGGTACTTTGGAAAGACAAATGGGTCAACACTTGGCTTGGGCAGAAGCCAACAGTGAAGATGGTCATGAATGGAGACAGCGGCTGCCAGGGCAGAAGAAACCCATGAGCATGTGTATGGGTCATGTATGTGCATGTCTGAAATGATGCCACTGTCCAGTGAACACACAGGAATAGGCCCAGATACCAAGTCCTAGGGGGTCCCAGTAGCCTAGCCTGGGTCCAGTCCAGGGGCTTCTCAGTCAGGCAGGCATGTGGCTGTCTCTAGAGAACAAGCCCCTAAACAGCATGGGCATCTGTGGGCCAGAAAACTCATTCTGGGGAACTGAAAATTCCCAAATTTAGATGATGTTCTAGAAAGGAGGAGGATGATTATCTATTCCAGTATTTAGATAAGGTAACTACTTCCCTGTCTTCTCACCGGGAAAGGTGAAAAGCTAAGAGTTAAACCATGGCATGGGGAATGAAAAATATCTGTAAAGATACTGTGGTCTGAGCTAATTAGAGAACTGCTTAAAGGGACCCGGATGGGCTGCCTACTCCACCCCAAGTGCCACCATGTCTATTAGCAATAATCGCGCCTCGGATAAACCTCATTGGCTACGATACTGTCACTGCGCAAAGCTAGTGCCACCATGTCTAAAACGGTGCTCAGGTTTCTGTTGGCACACACACAGAGCTGAAACTGAGCATCAAACATCCTGACCCAAGTCTGAGATGAAATGAGTCTCCCTTAAAGCAGGGCTAACAGAGATGCCAGAGCTGAGGCGCTGAGCCTTGGCCTGGCTCAGACCTGTGGTGGCACAGAGCCCACCTGACCTTCCTGGAAGGGAGGCTGGCACCCACCCCTCAGGGCGGGTCAGGAGGCAGTCTGCCAGGGGCAGGGAGGCTGCCGCAGCTTGGAGCTACTAGACAGACCTCCAGGCATCCTTGACATGACCTACTTGGCTACAGGAAATTGTACAAGCCTAATTTTTTTTTTTGTATAATATGATCATAAATTTAGTTGTAGGAAAGGAAAGTGATTATTAAAGATTATCTGAGCAGCATGTTAAATCCAGCCTATACTTGTTAATTTTTGGTGTCTTATTTCCTAAAAGACAAGGAAGGAAGAAGAGTGGCCGGTCTCTTCTTGTGTGAGTTACATAAAATGCAATTCTTGTCCGTCCTCAAAGTCCACTTCAGCTACAGAGAATGGCAAGGGTGATGTCCTCCATAAATCTGTTACTAAATTCCTCCTGGAGGACCATGCTGTCCCTGTGGCCATGCTAGACCCACTCCTGCCCTTGCCTCTAGGATGAGAAGGGGATGCTCTATCTCTGCTATGCTACCGGCAGGCACGAGTCCTGCCTGAATTCCCCAGATGCCCAGGCCTGATGGTGACATCTGGTGGGCTTCAGGCTGGAATATGCCACACAAAGATGAGGACACATGTGGGCACTGCTGAGGCCCAGGAGCTGATTCGCTCTTCTTGGCTTCATCCATTTCCTCAAGTGTCTGAGAAGCCCACTGTCAGTCACTGGATAGAAAGTGGTGATGGCCCTTTTCTTCACTGCTGCTTCCAGCTCCCTCGCTCACTGTTCCTGGGGTGGGCTGTCGGGATCAGGGGGAGAAAACCCATGGTTTTGATGGCTGGGGAGGCACACAGACTCGCCCATCCCTCCTCACACTGTCTCCCTACTGCTTCAGATAATACTGAGCCTCCAAGGAAGACAAAGCTGTTTCCCACCACTGACAAAGGTTTATGGAAGTGCCATTGGAAATAAATCCATGAGATTTTTAAATCTCTGAAAAGAAGCCCTGAACTGCCACTGAACCACAAAGCAAACACATTTAGTTGGTTCAGATTCATAGCACTGTTTTCTTTTGGAAAACAACAATGTCTGTGACCATCGGGTAAAATCATGGAGTAATGAGCGATTACTCCTGGGACTTCACTATGTGAAATACATCATCAACAGCAATTAGGTCCCAGGCTCCTAAGCCCCGGCTGGCTGCTCCTGTGAGTAGCTTAGCAACCGGGCTTCACGGGGCTGGGCCAGCGCAGCATCACCTTTCTCCAGCCTGGCTTGCTTGCAATATTCAAGCGCTTGGTGTCATCATCACAGATGGGGAAACAGATCCAGAGAACACAGGGTACCACACAGTCATCATTTAAAAGTACCCATTTAGAAACATTTCTTAAAATCCAAGTCAAAATTATAGTCGGTAATAAAAACATTTTAAAATGTGCTTTGTGTAAAAATTCTCATGTGTCAGTTTTATGACTCCTGTCCCTTTGGCGCTCTCTGCCATGACCTGCCCCTGCCAGTAATAGCCAATGGAGGGCCAGAAAGTACGGCTTCACAACAATGCTCCCCACTGTACGCGTTCACCCTCCCTGTGCTGCAGGGGTGTGGGGCGCCAGAGAGGGAGGGTGGCTGGCACCAGAGTTTCCTATGCTGGTGCTCAGGCTGACTGAGATCCAGCTTCAGGTGGTGACCCCACATTTGGGGAGATGCCATTTATGCTGCTAAAGGGGGTCTGCAGTGCTTAAACTGGGGCTACTTACTCCTGGGTGTGAGTCTGGGGTCACTTAGCTGGAAGCACATTTAATGTGGTAGCCTGGGTTTTGTTTTCACCACTCACACTTCACTGCGAGGCCAGGAAGGGAAGCAGGTGGTGGATAGGTTTCTATAGTCCAGCCCAGTCCATATAGCTGACCATTTCACACTGGGTTCCAGTTCAACCAATCATTTCAGATTATCCCCCGCACAAAATAAGGAAACCAAACAGGTATATTAGTTTCACTGTCAAGCATACTTCTTCCACTTTCCTCTATTTCTTGGTATTAGATGGCATGTCTGTAAATGTTATCGAGCACCAGTATTTCTCTCTAACCTTTGGACTTCCTTTCTTCAACCCTGAGTGAGATATAGTCAGTATTAGCTGGATTTTTACCTTTTGGTATGTTTGCTCCTATGGCACCTGGGCATGGGGCCTAAGACCAGGCATACCCAAAATGGAGAAGATGCTGCTTGGTTGCCAAATACTTGGCCCTACAGAGGAGCTAGAAAGATGCTTGCAGCCTTGACCAAATCCCCGCTGGGGCCCCCTGCAGCAGAACCCAGATAGTGATCCAAAGATCAAGCAGGGCATCTGCATTTGTACAGACATTTGTATGGGTATGCGTGGGGTTTTTTTGGAAATATTTGAGTTCATGAAGCTATGGGCTGTGAGGCGTGATTTGTGGTTGGCTATGACCGGCAGGAAACAGCAAGAACACAAGGGAGAGACCATAGTCAGGGAGCCCAAGGGGGCAGGAGAGGAGTGAGGGAGAGGGTGACCCCAGTGGCCAAACTGTTCTGCCTGCTGAATGGGCTTCCAGGTCCTGGCTAAGTGTCTCTAGCGCACATGACACAGTTCTAAGTAGCAGGGGATTTTCAC